CCCCCCCTTCCCCGCTCCCCCCACGCCTGCTACGAAACTTACCCCTGTCGGGTCCAGCAGCTCTAGCCCCAGGATGGGGAAGAGTTCCTGATGCAATGCTAAGAACTTGGACACTGACGGATGGGCTCCTCGCGGGAGAACCACGTACGTCGGAACCTGTTCGACGGTTACAGAACGAACCGTAACGAACGAGCGAGCCGCAACGACGGCAGTTTTGTTTCCGGCGATTGAAAATCTGAAAGCTTGTCGATTCGAGGCGGACACTGCGTGCTACTACTGTTCCCGCGTTTGAAAAGTTGAGAGGGTGTGTCGATTTGAGGCGGCCATCGCTTGCTGCTGCTGTTGCTGCTGCTGCTGCTGCGATTGTCAGATTAGAGGAACCAGCGCAGAGTCTCACCTGCCAATAGGTGCCAAACGAGGAGAAAACAAACACTTGCCTTTCGGTCTTCTGCGTTCCACAGCTTGGCGACTCCCACCGCGGCCGCTAAGGAATCAAAATCGGCCGACAGGTGCGTGAGCACGACGTTGTACGGCTGACCGCGGCTCACCAGCAACCCGCCTAGCCGCCCCGAGGCGGACTGTGGGCCGTGTACCATCAAACAAGTGGGAGAGGAGGAGAACGTCGACCAATGGACCATGAGTCTCGGGGGGGCGACGACTGTTGTCTATTGTTACGAATTCTTCAATACCCCCTAATACAGGGACGCAAAACATTGATGTGTGGCTTTGGCCGGGGGGGGGCTTAGTTGGCGGTTGGCCTGTATCACTTTCATCTTCGCGTGCACCTAACCTCTCTACAGGTTGCACAACGTATTTATCGACGACAGCTGGGTCGCGGTTTGTCGGGAGGAAGCGTTGCGTTTCTATTGACCAGGGTCCAGGGTACGCCCTGACGGCATCCAACCAGCCAGTACCTCTAATTGCTTCACCGGACTTGCTCTTGGAATATTAGTCGTGTCCTTTGATTCACCATCGCCCGCAGCTTGCAACTACACCACCGGTACCCGTGTGGCCTTACGGCCTCTCTCACGTTAGACCTCCGATCCGAGGTCACACACAGAAGAACTACTCTGCGGTGTGTAGTCTACGCCCGAATACTATGCGCCCGAAGGAACTCGGCCGCTCTTCTCGCTACTCAATGGTTTATTCCCACAGTCCCCCTGCCTGATACCGCTGTTAGTCTACACCTGGTTTCGAGTGGAAAGACACCGTTCTACTGCTTACATGCGAAGGGCCGCCGAATCGTGCTTTCTTCGATGCCGGCGGTGCCCAGTGGTCGCGGTGCAGCTCTTTCGACGCCGGTGCCCAAAAGCCGTACTGCACCTCTTCGAGCGGTTCCGATTCCGGTCCGGTAGCAGATAACGCCGACGATCCTTCTGGCGAACACGCCGCTGCCGGTGGGGTTGGTCTCGCAATCCTGTTGCGGCCTGCCGGGTGCGTGCCGAGTTTATGGCACCGATGTCGCCATGCCAACGGTGCGGCCAGCAAGCCAACAAACGTACCACACTCCTTGCTGCTGCCTCTTCTCCGACTGACCGCACGGGAGACTCGCGCTACTTGCGAGTTTGAAGCTTGGCCAAGGACACCAAGCTGCAGTACGAGGGCGGCATTATATATACGGCGGAGATACCCACATGTTGCACCTTTTGCCATGTGTTGGAAGACGCGACGAGGCGATCTCTCCCGTCGTTCTCACTGCACCGATTGTGCTCAAGCTGAGGAGGCCTCTGTCGAGAATCACTGCTGAGCTGCAAGCACCAAACACCGGGCACAAGCAGTAGTACAGCAGCCGTTGGCAGCCGCTGTGGTGTGGGAGGGGGTCCCCGCAGAATGCACACACGCGCGCCGGGTTTTCTACACACCGGATAGCGTGACTCCTTACAGGTAAAACGGCCATTGTTGACAGTCCCGCAGGCCGCAGGGCAGCAGAGCGCCGGCCGCGATTACCTCTTGTATTAGTAAGAATATCTGTGATGGTTGATGCTCATGTGCCTTCTGGTGCCACGTGTATTAATCACCTCAAGTTCTTGGCCATACGTACCCACGTGCTGTATTCTCCACGTCGGTACGTACAGCAGTATACTGCTGTAGCACCGGATCCGTTTCTTGGCGCTTCGGTTATGCTGTAGGCCAATACACGCACGTCTACATGTAGACTGGCATGAGCGGGAGTGCGCCTGCTGTCGGCTCATGGACCAAACACTGGGATCCGTCATCGAAGGTAAGATCAATGGCTTAGAGATACCAATTTAATGGGTAACATCCGTTTTACAAGACGCTAGGGGGGTTGGAGTACACAACGGGGGGTGATATCTTTGTCCGTATGTATCATTTTCAACGGAGAACTTTTCAATACCTTGAAATACCTGTGTTAATTAATCGATCGGCCGTGCCGAGGAGGAGGCGCGGCACCCTTGACATATTTTGTTCCCAAAAGGATTGATGCAGATTTGAATGAATGAATGAATGTGGAGGTCTTCGTGCGATGAGTGCGTTGGCCTCAAAGTAGACTATTGTACTACATGTGCATATAGTGTACGCTACCCAGTACATATTGAAAGTGTAGGGATGGGTCAAGGTGCTGCATACGTTGTAAGTGCTACGTAAGTGCACAATGATGTATCAAACTCTCAACACGATCATCGAGCGTGTGAGTGTGGAATTGTTTTTTAGAGCTCTTTCTTTCCCCTTTGACTCTGCATGGATGGATGGCTGGCACGCCCCCCCTTTTTTCTGCACGAACGTCACAGCAACACTTCTACTACGATCCGTCTACTGGGCAAACAACGTGGGGCCGGTCCGTGCCACCGGAAAAAAGCACGGAGTCACTTAAAAGGGAGGGGGAGGGCAATCTGTTGGAGGGGATCTTTTTGCAACAAGCGAAAGAAACCGCGCAGCACCATGATGTGCGCCCACGGCGAAGAAAACGTGGTGTGTCGAAAGACAGGAAGAACAATAACCGGGTTTTCGCCGATGATGACCTGCCCCAAAACGAAACAATCGAGGACGACGAGCCCCGCAAGGTGAGAGCCTCCAACAGGCACATTGAAGTACCGTTCACGTTCGAAGTGGTGTGGCCGATTGCATCAATCTTCAAAAATATTAGCGGTCGGCGATTTGCCAAACGATCCTTCTATCATCGAGACTTGGTGAGCTACGCTTCAAGCACACAGTGACCGCGAATCACCGCCTATGTGAGTGTGTGGGGCCGCGAACTTCAGCGCAGCTTTTCCCTCACACATCCAGCTCGTCGCCATTGTCGATTTGAACGCCTGGGGTCATGCGTATGCCGGTCTAGCCGTGGGGCAAAGGCGCTTGAAGATTTTCAAAATCGGACCGCACAGCAGATTCAATAATCAATCCTGCTTTTAGCTCACTCACCGATCTCGATGGTCGAAGGATCGTTTGGAAATCGGGGACCGCTAATCTGTCGTGAATTGCAAGGGCTAAAATCTCAGATACTAGCATTGTACACGAGGGGGGGTGCCCGGATGGTTAGTTTGCGGTTGTAGTTTCGTGCTGGAGTTAGACTGTGGAAAACTGATATAGGGTTTCCTAGACTTCTCACAAGAGGTACTGCGATCCCCCCAGCACCCTTAAGGTGTGCGAGCATACCCGTATGAAGCACTGCTGCTGCTGTGGAGCACAGATAGATGCTAAGATAAGGCATGATACAACACACAACACACCCACCGTCCGTGGTAGAGAAAACGCAGTCGACGGAACTATTTTCGCCCCCTTGTTCAGGATTACATCAGCTTTGCCAAAGAGTACTACTTGACGGCCCCCTTCCGAGACACGGGCGGCAAGCAAATCTGCGTGATATGCCAGAAGCGCAAGGCATCAGCCGTATTGTTTCCGTGCGAGCACAAATGTGTCTGCGCACGGTGCATCGAAAGCGAGGGCTTCGGGGCAATGAGGAAGGCGAGCGAGAGGGAAGCCCTCTGCCCCGTGTGTTGGTGAGAAAACAGGCGTTCTCTGAGCGTGCTTTTTCATTCCCGTGCCCGCTCGCGCTCGTGAGGGAAGTTGTTTGTGCCCATCACTCATGCACATATTTTAGAGGCCGTGTTTGTGTAGCCTGGAGTAGAATTAACTTCAGAATCACCCACGACCAGAACACGAAGAAGCAGATGTCTTTGGTAGGAATTCCGCACCCTGACGTGTTGCACATTCATGCCCAAGTGCAGCCAGCAGGTGGTATTCGTGGCTCCGTGCAGGGGCGGCGGTAAGGAGGCAGAGCTTTACTGGCGGTGGGTGGAAGAAATCAAGCCGCCGCTTCCCAAAGGTTTCCAACGAAACTTTCACAACGCGGCCATCTTGCTCCAGGTCAGAGTTTTTTTTTTTTGTAGCGAGCGTCTGTCTCCCTTCCGCGTCATCCATCCTCAGAACCTAGTTTTCAACTCGAGCGCAGCATTCATGGATGCCAAGAAGAGAAGAGCGCGACAAACAAAAACACGAAATTCTGCGTGCGTTCGTTTTTTGTGCGTCCCTCCCATTTCCCGCCCCATGCCGCGAACTCAGATACAAACGGAGCCCGATTCGCACAAGACGTGGGATAGGCCGCCCGAAGCCGCGTGTTGCTGCATCTTATCATGACAGACGTATGATGCAGTGCTTGAATAGAACCTTTTACGGGAATTAATGGTGGTCTTAGGATCTCTTGAGCTCTCCGGGATGCTAGAACGACACACTTTGCGTCTCGAACGCACAACACCACAAACGCAGCGCTCAGGATCGCAAAGCTTCTGAACCGAAGTCACGTCCACCGTGAATGGGCCTGGGTGTTTCAGTCGAGAGGTCGAAAAAGATCGAGGCACAAGTTGCAAACAGCAGCGGCTTTCCCGTCATCTCGAGAGAGGACTGCTGTGGGCAAAACACGTAAAAAAGTCGAGGGTACCTAAAAACACACCGTACATTCAAAGAAAACAACGCCTTCGACCAGGGCTTCTCCGCTGCAAACGTTGTACAAACGTGAGTCCACTCGGTGTGCGTGTTTGGTTGACGCCTCCCGTATCGGTTCGTTTTTTACATGCCTTTTCTGATTTTGGGCACCGTCCGAGTGCCCCCGTTGCCTGCCCAATGACCAAAACACCATATTATTCCAACCAACCAACGACACGAACGTGATACGAATATCAATATTTCAGATATCAAAGTCGCTTCACAGGAGACCAAAAACAGGAGCTGAACACCACATCTAGACAGAGCAGGCCTCGCAAAGATGAACCGAGAGGGGCTCGAAAAACAGGCGTCATCCTTGGATCGGCGTTCGTCTGCGCCCACAAGCATGGAGCTGGGATAAGGAGGAAGTAAAATCCACGGGCCCAGCGCTCACGTACTTTTGCTCCAGGTACCAGGAGCCATCGAGAGTGAGCAGGCCGCGCTATCGCTACAGCAGTCATCTCACGCTGCCGCCGTGAGTGTCTGGTCCGCCTTGGGCATTACGCTTGGAACATACGCTTCGGCGCCCGCTGGTCTATCCCACGTCACCTCCCTGGAAACCGTGTGCCAGTAGTACACCTGGCCGATAATCACAAGACAGAGAGTGTGACAGTTTTCGACGAGCGTCGGGTCAAGGCCTCTTTAGCCGCCATGTCGATCAGTGAGCCCATTGTACAAAAGCCGTCGGATAGACAAAAGAACGGCAAGACCATGGCGTAGCATTCAATTTGGGTCAAGAGGCGCGACGCTTACGCGGCGCAAAACCGAGCGCGATTGAAGAACTTCATGAGCACACACACCGCAATATCACGAATTCATGGCCCACACGGTCACTTTCCACAGCTACCGTGAAAGCGCAAGAGCGATGAAACGCCCGACCTCTCCGAAATCACACAACTGCAACCGTATCGGCGAACAGAGAGGCACGAAAAGCTGCGCGTTGCCCAAATCAATCCAACAAGCTTCGTTTGATTTCTCTGCCTTCCCTTGACCACTGCGGTACCCTCCTCAAAACACGCCTCCCACACAGAAACACGGAGAGCGAGACTAAAGGAAGGAAACGACGGGAATCGAAACCCACCTTTCCGCTCTCCGCCAGGCAAGCGCGCCATCTCCCCTCCCTCCCATCCCCGCTGCCGAAGTCTCCGTGGTGGACCTTCTCCCCGATGCCACCCCCCCTGCCCGCGGCCGTTGAATCGGCGGCACCCCCCTCTAGTCCTGGTGCTGCCGCCACCGTGCCCTTTCTCGACGAACGCTTGCCTCCGCCTCCTTTCGCCACCTTCTTGCTGGCGGCCTTCAGCTCCGCCGTAGGGGGCGGGGCAAACTCAATGCACACGGCGAAGAATTCCGACTGCGGGGAACGTCCAACAGGGGGACGGGGTCGAGCGGGACGTGACGAAAACAAACGGACAAGGGGGGTGCTAGCTTCCGTACGATCGCGATGATCGCGATCATGGACATGGTGGCGGTCAAGCATGTGACCTTGCACAGCAGCTGTGTCGCTTTGGGGGGGTCTGCTTCGACCGACCTTCGGCGACGGCACGGGATGGAAAAGAGATTTTGACATCCACAACCTTCGCAACTTGCATGCATGCCGGTACCACGCTCGGGCGATTGGAGACCACTCGCGCTTGGACGAGAGAGCGCCGACAGCTTCCAGACTGCGGCGTAAACACACGCGGCGAAGAATGCGCCAAGACCAGAGGTCCGACCAGCAGGAGCCCTCTCGCGATAAACTAACTCACCGCATCTACCGCGTAAATGTCGGCGAGTTCCGCGTCAACGTACTCCGCCAGCACCCGCACATGCGGCTCCTTGATGCTCTCGTCGCTCATGTAGACACCTCTCCACAGGGCGCTCGTGAGGACGTCCATACGCTCCTCCCGAGACTCGAGGGTGTAAGCATGGTCAAACTGGAGGTTCCGGGTAAGCGCAAGGCCGACGAGGCAGGTAGAGAGAAGAACACATATGGCCGGCGAGAGAAAGAGAACACTCAGGACTGCCCAAGGGAATCGTGGGAGTAGTGCGAGGACAACGAGCCGCTGCTGCCTCGCGACTCATCAACTGCATCTTGCAGGAGAGAGAGACAACGACAACAAAAAGTGGCAAAATAGGGCTGAGCTTGTTCTCGTTCTCGGTCCGAGGGCCCGGGTTACCATGCCACCAACGGCATACCCACCGGTCGACAAAGCGGCTATTTAGTTACAGCGTAGACGGTCACATGGGAAACACACACGGTAGTGTGCCTGACTTACAAAGACATGAACAACCGCTGGGTCGATTATCGGCACCAACTCAAAAGCACCACCGCGTTCCGGCAGAGCAAGGGCGAGAGCGCCCCAATGTAACTTTGGGAGAAAAGCGCTGCAGTACACACAGCGCTGGCATCCGTGGTTCCCGAGCGGCTAAAAGTATCAACAGCAAGGGCACGCGTGTCGCGCTGACTGTTACCTGCACAAGGGTGATGAACGTGTGCTGCTGAGCTTCAGCGAGATACTTCTTGAGCATCATTTCGGATACCTGTGGTTACCACGAAGCGTCGATTCAGAAGGGGAAACGTGTGATTACGGAGTGATTAGCACCTTCGTTCGGGGCTGGCTCGAAAAAAAAAAAACTGCGTGTACAGCTGAGCCAGAATCCGGCGCGGCTACACAACTCGGGAGTTCGAAGCAACAGCCAGAAAAAGCACATTCAGGTTCACCCCCTGCACCTCGCACTGCACCCCACATGGATTTGAATGCCTTTCTGTGCGACCTCGGTCTCAATCGAGGGAACGACACTTACCCAGCACTATGCTTTGGGCATCAAGGAAAGGCACGGTGCTCCATGAGTCGCGGGCAAAAACAATAAAGAAACACCTGATACTTGGTCGTGAGAAGAACGACAGAAAATACCCGGTTATCCCGTGGAGCCTCCGATGCACCAGCGCATCCATGGCTTTTGCGACAGAGGGGTCGTCATTCGCTAGCACAGACCTAAGCATAACACGCTCCACTAAACCGTCAATAACCACAGCAGCATGTACACTACACCGCATCACCCTCTCAAGACACGGGTACCGCTGTCGTTGGCTTTATTCCCACCTCGATGGAGCGCATCTGCCGCTTTGTCTCGCGCCACAGCTCGTCGAACAGCAGCTCCTGGACCTTCTTCCCCCGTTCCCCCTTACGGACGAAACAAAGCACCACATTGTGGATGCGTTTTAGTGCAGCGATGGGCAACAAGCGTCTGTGACACACCGATAACTGTGCGCGGATACAATCACGGCTGCAATTACTGTCCAGACCACCTGCATGCTCCATCGATGGTGACCAGCTCACGACGCCAAACACCAGGCAATGGTCATGTGAGTGCAGAGGTTCCATAACATGAAAGCGCGAACGCAGTAGCAGCGGCGAAAGCAACAGGATTTGTTGTTGGTTTATCGCTTACGTAAAAAACCATTTTTTTTGCGAGAAAATGCTGTCGCGTCAACCGCTTCGAGGCGAGGAGAAACTTAAAACGGGGTGGTTATCATGTTATGTGCATGCGGCGCAATTCCGACGGAAAACTGCACCGCTGCCCGTGCGACGTGCACATGCGATCTGTGTCTCTCCACCCACCTCTCGGAGTAGTCGGCGGGACATGAGCCACACGTTGGTGCTGAGCCACAAAAGCTTCGGGAGGAACTCGTTGCTGATCTTTCCATCCGAATACCACTCCGTGCACTGCTCGGCCGGGGGGGGGGGGGGGGCAAGCAAGTGGGTAGGGCATACCTGTATTCATGCTGATTCTCGCTCCGGTGTTGAAGGTTAGTTGTCTGGCGGCATTAGGCCAATAGCATTGCCAATACCATCATGAAACGACATGCACATGTGGAAACCCACGAAAAAAGCATACCATAGGTGACACAAGGTATCACGCCCCCTGGATCGATTTCCAAAGTTCGATTGCTCCATGGCACAGAGGGTGACGGTGCCCAAAATGGCGGGAGGCGTTGGAACCGTCTTATCGAGAGCTTTCCGTCAACAGACCGTTCGATCCGTACATCCTCTTCGTCGTGGAGTAACTGACCTACGAAACTCGGTCCAGAAGGGTGTGGTATCTTACGTAATGCCACCTACGGTAAGAGTTTGAGAGCTATACCGAAGCGCACTTCTCGTAGCAAACCTTGGTCGTGACGATCAGCGACTGTCCTGCGCGTGTACCCCGCAGGCAGGCGTCGCACCCTACTACCGCTGTGGCGGCTTCCAACACACCTCTGCGTTGTTGAGGCAGGTCTGCAGCATCCGCGCGGAGGACAGGGCGTTCGTGTTCTTGGTCGAGAAGACGCCCATTATCTTGTAGGGCCAGTAGAGAGGGTCAGAGGTCTTCCAGCCCCATTTCTCGTGCAGCTCGTGACTATTTACCGCTGATCTCGCGGTGAAGAGAAAAATTGTCGTAAAAAGGAACGTTGTCAAAACGAAAGAGGAGGGGGTGAGAAAACGTCGTTGGGATGACGTGTGGAAGACACGTTCCACCACCGCGACGCGAGCGGTGAGGACACGTGAGATTTTTTTGTGTTGACTGTCTGCAAGCACGGGAGAGCATCGGCAGAGGCAAGTGGACTGCTTCATGTGCCTAGATACAGCAGTGTACGAGAACGTGATGCTTGCGTGGCAGAGCCAAACTCTTCCCCAACCTACTTTGGAAGGAAAGCACAAGTAAATGACGCTGGTTTGCGAGTGGCATTGGTCAAAATTGTGACAATGCCACGGCATTGATGCACATCATGAGGGGGGAGGGCTGTCCACAGCAACATATAACGTGCGTCCTGGACGTGAGACAGCAGTCCAAACAATACACCGAACTACAGTAGTGCGGAAAGTGTAGTCCACCCAGCAGGGCAAGTCGGCACCACTTGAAATGCACTGGAGTGGCGCCTCAATTCCTACGTCAAGTACTCAACCTGTTTGGTGTTGGTTGGTACACAGGGAATAGATATCAAAGCAAGGTTTGTTGTGTATCCCGTGCGAGCTGCACCCATCTGGGATCTGGGGCTCCCCTGACTGGAAAGAGGGTAGGTGGGTGATTTCTTGCGTCTGACTGACAAGATGGCACGGCAACATGTTGTCTCACCGTCCTTCGCTGGCCGTTCGTCGGAGACTTGCCCACGATCATCGACCTCCGCAACCTGTCTCTGTTGGGTGGTCGTCGTGGAGGTGACCTGTCTACATGGTGCCCTCGGCAACAACTTCTGCACGGCCGCACAAGACGCCGACGCTTTGGGAGATGTTCCGCTGTTGTGCACCCGCAAGGGACAGCTCGCTAATCCTCGGGCGTTGCTCGCCTTGACGAGCGGCCGGACAAGTCGCACGGCAGCCACGACTGTATTTCTTCGAAGCCTAGTGGAATGGGGTGAATCAAACAGGCAGGGCAGAGGGGATGACAGATGAGCGATCAGCCGATAGAAAGGGTTGCTGCTGACTGACACACGGGCCGCCGTTCCCGGACAGCAGACAACAGAAAGAACGTCCTATTGACCAAATGAACTACTACAGAGCACCCAATTGTCTCCGTACATACTCACTGCATGGTCTTCCCAGGTTCCACCAGCTCCGCTCTCGGTGGTGCTACGGCTGTGTTCGAATGGCGCTGGGTGTGCCACCGTGCTGTGCTGTGCTGGTGGGTGCGTGTGCTGGTTGGCACAAATGGGGGGCTCGCAGATGAGTGAACCTATCCCCACCCCCACCCCACCCCGTGGATCATTGCGGCGAAATTAAATTTGAGCGGGACAGAATCCACGAGGCATCGGCCAATCAGACTCCTCTATTTCACGAAGTTTCACGAGGCATGACCAATCAAAAACCTCAAAGGTCACCAAGTTCACGAAGCACGGAGGATGCGCCGCACGCACAGTCACAGCAGCAGCAGCAACCATGAGCACACACAACACAGCGATGACAAACCCTTCTGGGGGCTGGAGGTAGGCCTTCAGAGTCGAGGACCACGAGCTGACTCCTGGTGCCAGGACTGGACCTCCGGTTGGAGATCATCAATCAGCAGCGCGGCAACCCATCCATGGGGAAGCTTGAGCTTTGCCGGCCAGACCACAGGAGCTGCAACAACAGCAGCAGCAGATGCAGCCGGCGGAAGCATCGTCTCATTCGGACCAGCACTTCCACCAACCTTTCCAACATATAGCGGAGCCAACAATGTGCCAATGGAGCCGGTGCGACTGGTCTTTTGGGACGCAACAAAAGCACGAGTCTGAGTACAGCGTGTATCTTCCGCGATCAGGTGAGAGGCCGGCAGGCCCTCCAGTTGCGCTGAGCATGGTACAAAGCATGGTAGGTGCGAATAGATAGCACTCTGTCGTTCGTGTGGTGAGAAACATGTTGAGTTGTTGTTCTTCGGAAGCCCGAGAAGATAAAAATCGAGTCACCACTGCTGCTGTGTGCATGTCTTCGCCCCCCGTGCCCATCGCCATGGTTAGGACATCATAACCTCCGGCGTACCCCGTCCTCGCAATTACAGCACGACCCAGTCGCCCGATCTCTTTGCTGACCCGCGCTGACTACCCTATAGATATGTTAGGCGGAGCTGCCAATTAGCGTGGCCGGTAGTAGTGGAGTCTTGTGTCTGGCGAACAGGTCGAGGGTACGGCGGCGTAGTAACGCAAATTGGAATCCCGCTCAAACGAGTTCGAATGTGGTATACACTATGTACTGCAGTAGTAGAAGGTTTGGCCATCCTGTCGGTTCCTTCGCAAGACGTCCCGAGCACATGCACGATTGAAAAAGCACAGAGTCTCACACCCGAAGGGCAGTAGCGAGCAACCTTCTGCTGTAAAACAGCATGCCGCAGCAAAGAACTCCGTGCTCTTGTCGAAGGTACAATCCCACGTGTACGCTACAGGCTTCGCCCAAAGGACAGCCAACCTCCTCACGTACAACGCTTGTTTTCGTTGGAACGGAGCACCATTTTTTTGCGCATCAAGTACCAGGGGCGAACGTTATGCGCGGCAGTCCCAAGAAAAAGATTGAACAAGGATGCCCGAGAGCCTTCCGGTTCGCGTTTTTCTTGACGTTCTGGTGTATATGTGGGTGTACAGCAGTACAAGTCTACGGCAGTACATGATCGTGACCCTTATTATTGCGGGGTTATTGCCTCACTCCCTTCGATGTTTGGTACAGTACTCTCATCGATACGGCGTACATTGTTTTTCGATTCGTATGGCGTTTGCCCCGTAGTTGACGGCTATTGTGTTCCTGGGACCGCGCCATTGCTGCTGCTTGATTGCGGTGGTACCAACACAACAATCGTGTTTTTCCCGACACGATGTAGCTTGTGAATGAATGATACCTTGGATGCATGAATGCATGATGGAATCGTTGCAACATCATTTCCAATGCCCATATCACGGATACGGCACCGAGTTAGAAGCCGCTGCCTGTGCTTAGGAAGTTTGACAATATGGGTCTGTGACAACTGCTCGTGCCCAGTCCGTCGAAATAGCAACGGATGCCGAGAGGGTACAGAGAGAGAGAAAGAGAGATAATGGGGAAGCGAGCCTCCCCCCTCGGCATCCTATGAGATAACTCTCGTGCTCTGACGGATTGCAACCACCAACTCGCAAAAAACACTTGACACAAGAACTCGCTAAACGCCCCGCATGATGCATGTGTCTGCTGCTCCCTGCGGACTGGTTGGTTCGACGGTCATTGGCTCTTGGCTCGAAAGACCGGCTTGGCAGGAGTACTTGAGCGGAGGGACTTTGAGCTCTTTGTTGAGAGAGCACAGGGAGAAGCCCATGAGAATTTCCAAGGTGCGTACAGTCGTGGTGTTGTCTAAACCTCAGCCCCCACCTCGCATGTATTTCGTATTCGTTCATGCGCAACAAAATAAATTCTGGTCACGACAACAACCACAACGACAACCACAAAAATAATAACAATACAACAGGTGCTCGACCTGTCGCTGGCGTTGTGTAACGCTTTGGAGTACCTCCACGATGTGGCGGTGCCTGGACGCATCGTGTGTCACCGAGACCTCAAGCCGGACAACACCGGTTTCGCGCAGGATGGCACGTTGAAGCTCATTGACTTCGGACTGGGAAAGGTAATGACACAACTTTTTTTTCGTACCTATCTAAATGTAAAATGTGTAACCGTGCGTTTACCGACATAACATGGTGGCCTGCTGTTGTATGCCATTGGGAAGAATACGCGTGACAAACGGTTGACTACGCTGTTGTCCAGCAAACCGGAAGCAAGAGACGGGGCATGGCGTCTGTGTGTGGAAGTTTCCGACAGTTCAGAAAGGAGACAAAGCGATGTGTACAGAGAGGCTGATCTCTCCTACCGCTGCACGCAGCAGCCGAGATCGACGAGATAAATGCAAGACCTCGACGTGTATGTGTAGATGTTGTCTTGACAGAAAGTTGAGAGGTGGTAGAGACACATCACACAGGTAACATTCATACGTTGCTACGCCACATTGATGCACAGCACCGGCATTCCCCTCTCTACGCTTGCGCAAGTGTCCAGTGTGTAACCTGTTCGACCTGTTCCCTGCTCCTCGTTCACGACTCGTTTGCTTTTTTTCTGAACAATTGCAAACAGACACACGTACCCTAAACTCGCTCGTGGCTCCTCGTTTAAGATCAATTGCGTGAGAACTATTTTCCTATTCACCGCTGCTGCTGCTGGTCAACACCACCTTTCGAACCCCACACCATCTCGTCAACCGAACGTGTTGTGTTTCTGCTCTGCATACAGGCAACCCACGGGCCCGTACTTCCACCAGGATTGGGCGATAGGGAAAAACTGGATGAGGGGGGGGCGGGGGGGGGGAATCACGATACCTGCTCTCCGAGGCGAACGGAAACCAGCGCATTTTTTGCGTGCACAGATTCTCGGCATGCCTGTTTACCACAGCCCGTGTGCGGTGCCCCGCGGAGGGAATATGCAAAGAAAGAACGCGGGGGATGGGTGGGGTTTGTTGTCTGTTGAAGACATCGCCAACAAGTGCTTGTGGCTGTCGTTTGAGTTACCGTTGACCTTGCTATAGGGCAGGGTTGTTGTACCAACCAAACATGCCGGAGCATTTGTGAGCTTTCAACTTTCTGTGGCGTGGGAGATGCACACCCGCCTCTTGCTGGGTGTGTTGATCGAAACCTTTTGGACCGATCGTATTTCGCACCGATAGCCTGGCTGTTGCACGTTCATTGAAAAAAGAGACAATGATTTTTGCCAAGAAGTACAAATATGATGAGCAAAGCAAAACAGCAACAACCACAGTTTGTTCGGTTGTGCTTGCATATACGCACACAACGCATAGACTAATACCTGTATTAGGCGGGTTCCGAGGTCGTCGTCAAGTAGTGTACTTTATGTGCATCATGTTTACTGCTGCGCAGTTCAAACTGTAGAGGAAACACGTGCACTCGCAACCATGCCCGGAAACAACGAAAAAGTAGGCCAGATGGCACCAACCAGAGTTACATAGTTGTTGTAGTTGTGCATTCGAAACACAACAATTATGTGCCCATCGACGAGTGCAACACAAGGCGTGCAACTGCTGTCAGGAGTACGTGCACACTTCGAAGTACACTACGCATGCATCAGTAGCACGTCCAACAAAGATATCTGGGAGCCGTTCTTCTTCTCGGCCGTTAATAAAAAAAAAAATGGGTTTCAAATGGTTTTCGCGGCCTTCGGCCGCGTAATTAAACCTCGTGGAAGCTGTCCCGCGACAAAAAAAAATCGCCGATCATTGCTGCACACATGTATGTCATCATGTATATAATGTTTCAAATCCGACGCGTTTCCGCCTCGTCGAGCCCGGGCACGCCATATTTCGCCAACGCTACGTGCGAATGGCATACTGCGATTATCGTTTTGTTTTCGAAACAGTTTGCGTGTAGTGAATACCTGACGAACCACCGGGTAACCGTTGATGCTTTGTCATACAGAGAAAACAATCGACGAGGGATCCGTGAGGAACCCCCTTCTTCGCCAACGCCCACCTGTACCTTACGGAATGCGTCAGGCGTACAGACGAACAAAACCACCCGGTGTGCTGACTTTTCGGGGGGGGGGGGGGGTACTCTTATGTTTTGCATGCCTTAACGGTTAAACCATTGACCACGCGTCCTGAAGAGGACGGAGCATTGTTCCCACAGGACCGATCACCGATGGCCAATCGTTCCTTCCTACTTTGCCAAAGGTAGCTCAAAAATGTCTTCCCTAATCTGTCTATCCTAACGATATCCCTTCCCGCCTTTTCAAACCACTTCCCTACTCCCCAGTACAGCTACCGTCCTCTCCTCTCTATTCCATGCCTCAAACATCTCCCTGTACGTCCCTTGTATTTTTCCCAGCTCAGTCATGTACACTTCCCTCTCCTCTTCGTACCACGGACATTCCGCGACTACATGAACACGGTCTTCGCATTCGAAGCCGCAATCACATTTGAACTTGTCTTCTTCGTCGTCTACCGTCCTATGTCTTCGTCGACGTTCTCGAAGGCCTATGCCCCCGGTCCTGGATTTGACCTTAAAGCTTTGTCCCTGCATCCATTGGTCCATGTAGTAGTAGGTAATCCTTGAACCCCATTCCTTCTTTCAACATTCCGTACACTTCTAGACCCTCCGTATCCTTTGGTTTATTTCCTTAGATTCTGTTTTTCTCATTCGGCACAAGCAACAGATATCTTCTCCTTGAACCCCTGTAGACCCTCCGTTTCCAGCGTTTCATCTTCGTCGATGTCTAACCCCTTCCATACGTCCTCTACAACCTTGACCCATTCCGTGGGTTGTCTACCCCTCTTCTTCTTTGCCCACTTTGCCTCCCATACTATTCTCGGCAACCTCTCCTCTCCCATCCCGCGCACATACATGCGATACTGCCATGTCAGCTTCCTTGCGTCTCTTCCCGACCGTAGGGATTGGATCCCCAATTCTGCCCTGACGGCTGCATTACTTACTTGTGCGCGTGGAGCATCCTAGGATGATTTTCGCTGCTTTCATCTGCGCCGCCTCGAGTTCTTTCACTACCACCTTCTTATTTCCTTCCCATACTTCTCCGGCGTACTCTAGCGAGCGGCGGTACGATTACGCTCTTCAAAACCATCAATTTGATGCGTGTATCGAGGTGCCGGTTTGCGAGTATTGGGTGCAGCTTCCCTGCTCATGCTTTGCCCTTTTTTCCCGCTACCTTGGACATGTGTGCATTCCACGAGCAGTCTTTTGCCATCTCTACTCCGAGGTATGTGTACTGGTCCACTACTGCAATCTCCTCGATCCCCCACTTCCATCTACGTTCTACTGGTTCCTCCCTGACCTCGTTGCACACCATGAATGACGGCATTCTTCTTAACGTTGGCAGACAATCTCCATTTATTAGTAAACTTCTTCGCCGCGTCAATTTGTAGTTGCAGTCCCTCAGGGGTGTCCGACATACCAACAAAATCATCAGCAAACAGCATTCCTGACACCGAAGTTTCCGTGTCCCCTACTTTTACTCCCTTCCGGACTGCCTCTACGACTTCCAACAGATCGTTGCGTTGATGAACACCTGGAACAATGTTGGGGACAGCGTGCAACCTTGTGGGACCCCCTGCTCAATGTCGAAGAATTTAGACAGTTCTCCGTCTAGCATGACCGCGCTTTTCGTACACTCTGGGATCTTCTTCAGCACCCTCCACATTTTCCCCTTGATCCCGTACTTGGACATGTATTATTTGTTTCCACAGCACATTTCTCCATACATACGGTATCGTATGCCTTTTTCACGTCCAGGAAGAAGCAGTACGTCGGCTTTCCCGCCCTCTTTCTACCTTGGATGCGTCTCCCTACCGTGAATGCGTGGTCTACGCACCCCCTCTTCTGTCGGAAACCTGCCTGACCCTCACTAATGCTACGTTCCTTCTCCAATACTCCCACTATCCTATCGTTCAGCAGCTTACAAAACACTTTTCCTACTGTGTTCAACAGTGTGATACCCCTGTAGTTTCCTGGGTCAGTCTTGTCTCCTTTCTCAAACAAGGTCACAACCACTCCTTCCCTCCATCTACTTGGCGTTTTTCCACACCCAGTTGTACAGCAGTACCATCAGCTGGACCATCCCCTTCCCCCCAAACTTCATGAACTCGTTGACTATCCTATCCGCCCTTGCTGCTTTGTGGCACTGCAGCTTGTTCACACACGCCTCAACCTCGTCCTCAGTGAACTCCTTTTCTAGTTCTACGTTCTCAGCGTCTGCCTTCGAAGTCTGTTCTTCTTTCTGGGCCCATGCGTCCACCTCCTTCTTGAACACTTGGTCAAAAGCTTCATTCTCCGAAGGTACTCCAAGTAGTCTCTTGTGTGTCCCGCTAGAACTTCCCTTTTTCCCTTCCCACTGCCCCGGTCGAAGGGGTGCGTTAAAATGCTTACGGTGGGTGTTGAGAAACACATACCTTTGAATGCTGCGACTTATTAGTAAACATGAGCATTTATTTTGGGCAAACGACGACAGACAGACGAAGAATACGGTAGCTTGCAAGATACCACCCCCCCGTGCGGAAGGAGGGGTGGGAACTATTTCCTGGCGGCTCACAAGTGAATGCAGTGAGAATGCCGCAACGGGGCTTCTCGAGTCGGGGTTCTTCGATGCTTCACTGTCGCACCTACACCTGCCGCCTGTTTTACTGTCGAAGAAAATACGAAAATTGCCCCCTCCACGCAAAGACCGTATGATTCTGCTGAATGGAGCCACTGCTGTATGCACACTGCTGTACGTGCGGAATGACTTTGACCACCCGAAGACTCGGATCCAAATCTCATCATCACGGATCCAACTCAACCATGGCCACATCCGAATACAAACAAGTTACAAACGCCGAGGGCTGTTGACATTTATATTCGGTATTCCGACCATCTCGACCTCTGGCCACAACCCAAGTACACTCGGTCGTGGGGGGCTTGACCAATCAGCGTGGGGCCTCGGAGTCAATTTTCCCGAGTCATTTCCTGGGGTACCGTTTCTCGTTACCCAACTCTCCGGTGTACCGCTCTCTGTTGCCCAAAACATTTTGATCGCCGTTGCCATAGATTCCAATACAAACAGCTTTTGGCATGATGAGAGCACCCTCTCAGTTTATTGCAAGAGGTGCATCATTTTGCACCGATTTGAGCTCAATCCACGTCGAGATCGATCATATTTCGATGTCTGGATTACAAGTGTCTTTCATTTTCGACAATCGGTCGGGCCTACAGGTCGTCGGAAGACGATAATATATCAATAGTGCTACCATTCGAGCCCGCGTCCTTCCGAACATCGTGTTGCACGCAAAATATGTAGGCCTTGTTCCTCTCGCTGCAAGAAGAAGCGTGTGTGCTATGCCCCCACTACTACTCTCCCACGATGTACTTAAAAAAAAAAAAGCCCGCCAAAATAAAATAAAAGCCCACGCAAAATAACACACGAGAGATATCTCCTCGCTTGCAAGTGTTGTTGTGTCGTGACATACGTAAGTGCTCTACTCTGTTCCTCGTGTCCGTCTCACCACGATGAATCCATGTAAACGCACACCAAATCCCCGACCCCCCCGCTGACTGACGCCAATGAAGTAAAACGATCACAAGCTAAGCAACGTTGCCAAACAGTAGTATCAAAACACACATCAAGCCTCCCCCCTCGCTCTCCATTCATTCGTTCAATTTTGCCAGAGCCCCTCTCAACATGAATATATTTATGAATGCGAAAACTGCGAGCGTCGGGCATCAAGCGATCTAAGAAAATGGCAAGAGGAGGAGGGGATTGAGGTGGAAACAACATGCGAAACGATTTCACCCACCCGCGTCCGCGCGACCGCGGAATTGGCAGCTACAGCGAGGGAGTCGGTTCAACGAACACATAAAATGACTATCCATTTTTCTGATCAATCAATCAAATGACTAACGATCACAGAGGAGGAACTAGTATAAAAAACCAAACAGACAGGATAAAAAAAAAGAAGAGAGACGATCAACTACGCGTATAACAACGAGAAAAACCACAGCAACAACAAGGACAACAACCTACCGCCTCAACAAACACCGAACGTGTGCGACGGGCGGTGCGTGCAGTAGACAAGACAAACGCGTTCCACGTGTAACGGTTTCTTTCTCCTTAGATAGATAATGGTCATGTCCCAAAAAACAGCGCCAAAAACAGGCCAAGACCTAACTTGCTCCCAATTACAAACGCGAGATTTCCTTCGTTCCGCTTCGAAACAACTTTACCGTCGTCGCACTATCATCCAAGCAACGTCTCCTTCAATTTCCATTTCCAAATGGGTAGACCCAGGTTTCGCGGACAAGCGGCATCGCAAAATAAACGCGCTTGTGCCCCGCTCAACCCGACATCGACGACCAACCAACGAACACTCGCTCGTGTCCCTAGGAACAAGAACCGTCGGATGCAACGGTGCTGGGCCAGCAACACAGCAGCACCGCCGGCAGCTAAGATCGGAAACCACCCCGCAGCCCAGAAGCAGCTACATCACGACCACCACACTGAGTTCCCCACAAACGCCAAACAAAAACCAAAGGGTAGTTAGTAATACAAAACACATACAAGAAAATTTTAGACCGTAACACCAAAACGTGGGGGACGCTGAAGCGCTACCCTACCGACGAGTACGTGGGGGAACTAGAAAGACAATCCTGCTGATGCTGCTGCTGCTGCTGCTACATCTGTTGCTGCATCTGTTTGCTAATAACCAAAGACGATCCTCGCTGTCGAAAGCCCAAAGCAACGACCCAAACGGATAAACGAGCGCTTACATCCATTCCTACTCTCACACGGAAGACTTTATTTTCTTGAGAGCCATCAACAGCCGCATCCAAACTCTTTATGTTCCCTTCCCCCTCACTCAAAAATATGCGCAGCCTCGTCGGGGGGGGGTCTCGAGACACAAAGCTAAGAGAGAGAGCCGAAGTGATGTCCTCGCCTCGCAACTGCCCCCATTTGCCCTGCAACCCTCAAGCGTGGGGTCGCAGAACACCCGGCAGTACGCCCGGCCGTGTCTCCCGATTGCGGCGAGCGTGCAGAGACACGACTGCACACTCGCATGCCGTGGGGGTGCCCACGCAGGCCCCGCGTTGTTTTCGTCCTACCACGGGGCCCCTCCCCAAACACCACTGCAGCAACAGCGTTGGCTACCCGTTCTGGAGCAGGCCCACGAAGCACAAGACCACCACGCTTTATCCATGCATCCAGGGGGCTGGTCCCGCAACGTGTTGCCCGCATCAGGAGCCAAATCACGGCGCACGTCATCCAACCTCTTGTCGGTGTGTATGTCGCCAAGCTCCCAACATTATGTTCAACGAGTAATCTCCGCCCCATCCACTCGCCGGTTGCCACAGCCTAAAACGGCGATAACAGCAGCCGCTGGCGGCGCACCAAGGCCCCAATCCAGCCACAAGCTTGGCGGCGATAGCAGCTGCGGCGACGACCTATCCCCCCCCCGGCCCCCCGCAACCGCGCGCCCCCCGGCCCCACGTGCGCGCCGGCCACGACCCCCCAATAAACCTCTTCGCCCTTCCCCCAATTGCGCGTATAAAAGCCTCGAGGGCATATGTTCTACATTCGCAGCGGCGACGGCCGTGGGCGACGGCGACGGCGGCGGCGGCGGCTTGTCGGCACAAAGAACGGCGAAGGGTGCAGGTGTTTTCGGGTCGTTGCAATCCGCCTCGTTCCCTCCGTCAAGCCTCAGGCCCAAGGATAGAGGGTATCAGTGCGATCCGACCTCCCGCCGCCGCGCCCGGTTCTCGTTCAACCCCCCCCACCCCCCCTTAAAAACTGAACACCCCCCCCCGCCCCCCACCCCCTCCCCGTAAAACAGCTGAGACATCAAGTTTCTTCATTGGTTGAGGGTGCCGTGCCCTCGCCTCTGCTGCCTCCAAAGCGCCACGGGGAGATCGTCCCCCTCCTCCTCGTCGTCATACGGCCCGTCCGAAGTCTGGCAAGGGAAAAAAAACAAAGGAGTGGGGTACGGGTCAACTACACTGCTGCTGCTGTTGCTGCTGCTGCTGTTGCTACCCCTGCTGTGTCGCCACCAAAGGAACTGCAGCGGGTGGACGGGAAAACGGGTGCAGAACACAGCAGCTACTCGTCCTGCGAGTTTTTGTTGTGTGAGCAAAAACTACTCATCAGGGTGTTGCGAAACAAGCACTCAGGAAGAGCGGCACGAGGGTGGCAAGTAGGAAGGGGGACGGGAGGTGACGTGTAACCAAGCACCCTTGGTATGCGTGCAGAAGGCTGTCTCACTCTGCATTCGTCTAGAGCCGAACGGTCTAGGACCTTTCGTCAAGCAGCACGTAACAGCAAATGATTTAAATCTCACCAGACTCCGTCCCGGCTTGTAGGGATGCGAGGTCAATGGTCTACCGACTACGGCATGCGCGACTATGAGTACACCCACCAGACTATTTCGTCAATTTGTACTGTCGGCCTTAGCACGCTGATTTATTTCGAGGACCACGATCGTTTACGGCTTGCAAACATCAACTCAAAGATGCCGAGGACATAGTTCTACAAAACGTGCTTGTTCTACGCGGATGCATGAATGCACGCCCATACACACAATTTGTCTACCAGGACCAGACGCGTCCACCACAAAAGCGGGGATTGGGATTGTGACGTAAAAAACGACACAGCGTTGATCGCCGCGCACCACTTGTGATTTTATATCGCGTTTGAGGATTTTTTATGAGTATTTTTGTTTCCGTTTGGATTATTGTGTGTGCACCCCTTTTCTAGGGTAGTTGGCCTGTGACCACGGAAGGCGTCACCGGGACGGACGCTAGGAGGCACCGAGAAGAGATTGTCTTCATTTTTTGGCATGAGGACAAAAGCAAAAGCAACAACTGCGCGATCGTCGTGTTTGAGAGTTTTAAATGTGAAGGCAACAACAACAGCAACAACAGCAACCGCTCCGCCTTCCACAGAGGCCGACGGGACAACCTCATACACCGACAAGGTCCGCTTGCTCACCATCTCTGCGGGTCTCTGAGAACTTCCCATATAGACACCTCGTCCGTGGGCGTGCAACATCCCCATCCCATCGTCATCTCCCATAGAATCGAGCGGCTCCCCCCAGTCCGCGTCGTCCTGGTGAGCACGACACCACACGACATGATAAAAAGCCGGCGGGAAAGGAACCGGGGGGTCGGTACGAGGCTTTTGCAGTATGGTACGCAAGCACGGCCGTGAGAGCTACGGAAAAGAGATTACGGACAGAGATACAATCGCCAGGTAGAGCGACGTGCCCGCGGAGCAACCAGCCACCACGCTCGGTCGAAATTCTGAGACTTTTAACACGCACGCAGGCCGAGAGCACGCCAGACCCGTTACAGCAGTAACCGTGTTTGCAAGGACACCAAGCCGTGCACCCGCGGCACACGAGGCGAAGACACCAGCAGCATTTCGCCCACTAAATTGTGCGAGCTGAACGTGCTGGCGAGGCCTATTGGGTGGAACTACCATGGACGCCATTTTTTTTTTTTTCACGTCAAATCAGCGCTCGTAGCACTAGTCTAGTGCCGTTTACTCCAACCCGTGGTCACACAGAAGATCCAGTCTCTACCCTCCCCTCCTGCGGTACTTTGCCTTCGATTTTTAATGCGACAAGAGTTCAGCACTCTCTTCCCTCTGCGTACACACGAACTAGCGCTATCCACTAGTAGGCCAGGAGCGGAAGCGAGAGAAAAACTCACTTTGCAAGAAAAGCTCGCTCACGCCGGGATTCGAACCCCTGACCTGACCTCTAGAAGGTTTCGAGGATACCAACTAAATAGACCACCAGGACGACCGGCAATGCAACTCGGCGAACACTGATGGTCCGCAAGAGCGAAACGTGACAACTGACCGTACCCCTAACCGCATCAACACTGCTCTTGTCACCGCTCAGGGCGCGATGAGGGTGCAGGGACAGCTGCTTTTAGCGGATCTCAAGTTGACGCTCTCCTTTGCACACGCTCCCGGGGGGCGATATCATGCCACAACACAACAGTACCAGAGCAGTACACTGGTTCCCGCGTTGAACGGTCTGCGAGAGCTCGTCGAACAAATACGCCACCGTCGTGAGGCCACGTAGCTCTTACACCGTGACTACTGTTACGCTCGAGAGCAGAGGAAGGCGAGTGACGACACAGGGAGGCGACAACTCCGAGAACACCACGGGGAGGGAAAATACTCCTAACGGCATGAATCTCCTACACCCGCCTTCTGCTTCTCAGGCACAAGGCGGTAAGCGTCATATATCACCACAAAGATGGCCGTAACGCGTCTACTCCCCCTCATGCTCTTGACAGCTCGTCCAAACTTCTGAGCAGCAATCCCGCCCGCGATCATTAGAGGGCACAGTAAAAACGCTCAAATGTCCAAACACCATCGGCGGGCGTCGGCACAACTTTTCTCACCTCTTCCTCCACCGTTCCTCGCGGACCTCGCCCCACGTGCGGCCGCCTGTACCCCCCCCCACCCCTGCCCCCCGCCCCCGCAGACTGCGGTATCACCCCGAGAACCTGCGCCGCCTTATCCGTGATGTTTCCGTCCCGCGGAGTCACGTGCTGACGGTACGGGTTGTGGCCAAACACCTTCACACAATACACACAAACGTGAAAATGATGATGGCGGCACAAGAGCACGACAACAAACAAGAAAAAAAAAGGAGTTAGAGAGAGATAGAGAATTACAGGTACACTGGACTGTTTACACAAAGAGAACGCGGGGGGGGGGGGACAAGAAAAAACGTATCAAGCGAGAACGTACTTGTAGCGCGCAAGGAAGCAGACGGGGTCACTTCACGTGCGGTTTTCGACATAGACGAAAAACACAGTTTTGACCCATCCGGAGGAGGACTGCGACGGCAGTAACCCGCGGAGTCTCGCCAGAAACGCAAGGCATTTCTTGGCGCGTTCGAGCACGCAACAGTACGTCGTTACGCCTTCCCCCCCCCCCGGATCGTGAACGTACAGCAAAAGTCCTAGCAATCAACATGACCTGTGATCATAACACCTAGCGCACGAAAAAATTGAAAATGCGTTCATATTGCATCTACGCTTCGGCGCGCGGCTCCGACTATTCATGGTGTAACGGCGGCGACGCGACAAGACAGCAATAACAGCGAACGCCCGTCACAAAAAGAGCCGTATGCCATAGTAGACACATAGTACGTTTCGTCCAAGATCTCGCACCTTGGCCGCCTTCGGTGGGACGTGCGTGGGTTGTTCGTTAATGCCCAAGAGCTGCCGCGCCTTGCTTGGCACACGCATGTTGTGCGGCAGGACGGAGTAGCGGTAGGGCATCGACGTGTCGATCTCCCGCACATCGTATAACTCCCCGGTGTCGCGGTTGACGACGGTGTACTTGGTCTGGCGGGGAGAAGCGGCCAGGGTGCGGAGGGGGGGGGGGGGGGGGGGGGGGGGGGGGGCCCAAATCCCCCCCCCAAAAAAAACCCGGGGCCAATTTAAATTTGGGGTTTCTCAACTCCAAAAAACCAAAAGTTTGCCCGGGGGGCTCCACCCCCCCGTCATTTTTCGAAAGGGATCTCCCTAAATTTTCATGTTAACCCCCCCTACCCTAGGGGGAAATTTAAAAGGGGGTTTTGCCCCCCCTTTAGGGGGTTGGGCCCGGAAAAGGGTGCTGGGAAAACCCCGAATTAAATTTTAAATTTCCCGGGGGGGCCCCCCCCCCGGGAGGGCCCCCCCGGGGGAAATCGGGTGTATGGGGGCTTCCCCCGCGGGGGCCCCCCGGGGGTTACAAAAACAACCCCCTTTTGTTTTTTTTTAATTTT